TCAGTCTTTATTTTTCTTCTTTTTTTTCTTTTTCACATCAAAAGCTGCAAGACAGCCCACAATTCAGCAAACATTTCAGAAACAAATCAAAGAAAAAATAAACAAATACTGCTGTTCCAAATATTCTGTATGTTGCTCAAAAATAAAATGCATTGTGTTCAGTGGAAATATATATTTTTTAAACCAGACATTTAAAAACAACACATTTTAGAGCTGTAACAACAATACCGTGAAACCGTGATATTTTTGCTTAAGGTTATCATACCGGCCCATGCCTACTGTGGTCTCTGTGTGCATGTAGGCCTACGTGTATTTGTCCACACACAAAGCACACCGTGGATATTCAGTTTCTCAATGCACCTGCTATTGACAATTTTGTGTATTCCCTGCCACCAGAACAAAAGTGAAACTCTCTGTTTAATCTCTCAGACTCTAGGCAGAAGGATGTACTACTCTGTAAGGGTACTTTACTTTGATCGCCTTCTAATGAGGAATTTATCCGGCACTGCGACCTGTCACACTGCTGCCTTGCCACATGATGTACCTTCTACAAGAGAATCACCCGAAGTTATCTGTGGAAAGCCATATGTGATTGTAAAATTACCAGCCAAGAAGATTATAAATGTTAAAGTTTTGGGTCAGTACTGATTGTGTTCCAATAATTTTGGACTATCGTAGTTTGATTCTATATTCATAAATATAGAATATTGAATTTAGTCAATATGTATGCATAACATTTGTTAATGAATGGAAATAACTTGCATAATGCAAATAACAAATGTAAACTTGGTAATGGTTTTGAAAAATATTTACAACCAGTAAAAAGGTGCTTCCTATCTACTTCTGTTTTCTCAAGATATGTCCATGCAGTTGCCTCGTCCTGTCCTTTGGAAAAGTCACCATACAGTGTTTGTCAAATTGAAACACTCAGCAATCAAGGTATGACCCTGTAAAATCAAGTTTTGCAACTCTTCAAGCTTTTGTTGTCTCTACTTAGATTGTGTAATCTAATGATTTTGCCACCTCTCTAAAGGATGGAATGCTCCAGGTGGATTATCTTGATGTGACTGGTAAAACAAGGACAATCACAGGGTCCTGTTTTCAACAGACATTTAAAAATGCCATTAGAAAACGAAGACAAGACCCATTCGATTTTATTTGGGAATATGATCCAATACCGACAGTTCCCTTTAAACCAGAGTGGGCAACAATCACTGCCCCCTTACACACTGTTATCCGCACTGGAATCTCTCCTCCTTCAGAGTCCGGTGTTCCTAGTATTGTCACTACTGGACCATTTGACGTTCCACCTGATTCCACAGTAGATGACGGTCTAGAAGCGTCACCAAGCACAGACAGGCAGCCAATCAGAATCACCAAAACTGCAGCAACTACTATTGATGTTAATGTAGAGCTTGGGTTGGATTTTGGTCTTTCAGATTTTGACGTCAAACCCACTGTTCCTTGTGGGGAGTTTGAAGAAACCCCTGTAATGACCCAAAGGATACTTCCATCCTGCACACCTAAATATCCAGACCCCACTACATGGACAAACATGCAACCCTTTAGGCCAGCTGAGATAACTCTTGATAGAACCCAGAAAGTAGAAACCTCAAGTGCTGCTACACAGCCAAGCAGAATCACCAAAACTGCACCTACTGTTGTTCATGCTGATGGAGAGTTTTGGATAGATTTTGGTCTTTCAGAGTTTGAAGAAACCCCTAAAACGACCCAAAGGATACTCCCATCTAACTCTACTTCATATCCAGACCCCACAACAAGGACAAACACAGTTCCCTTCAGGCCAGCTGATATAATTCTTGGTACAACCGAAAAAGCAGAAGCCTCCAGTGTGTCTACACAACCAGAAAGAATCACCAAAACTACAACTACTGTTGCCGATATAGAGTTTGGGACAGACTTTGACCTTTCAGACTTTGATGTCTTGCCCACTCTTCCTTGTGGGGAATTTGAAGAAACCTATAAAACAACCCCAAGGATACTTCCGTCTAGCACACCTTCATATCCGGACTCCACAACAAGAACAAACATGGTTCCCTTCAGGCCAGCTGATATAACTCTTGGTACAACCATAAAAGTAGAAGCCTCCAGTGTGTCTACACAACCAGGCAGAATCACCGAAACTGCAACTCCTGCTGTTGCTGATGTAGAGTTTGGGACAGATTTTGATCTTTCAAACTTTGATGTCATACTCACACTTCCTCGTGGAGAATTCGAAGAAACCCCTAACACGACCCCAAGGATACTTCCATCTAACTCTACTTCATATCCAGACCCCACAACAAGGACAAACACCGTTCCCTTCAGGCCAGCTGATATAATTCTTGGTACAACCGAAAAAGCAGAAGCCTCCAGTGTGTATACACAACCAGGAAGAATCACCAAAACTACAGCTATTGTTGCCGATATAGAGTTTGGGACAGACTTTGACCTTTCAGACTTTGATGTCTTGCCCACTCTTCCTTGTGGGGAATTTGAAGAAACCCATAAAACAACCCCAAGGATACTTCCATCTAGCACACCTTCATATCCGGACTCCACAACAAGAACAAACACAGTTCCCTTCAGGCCAGCTGATATAACTCTTGGTACAACCATAAAAGTAGAAGCCTCCAGTGTGTCTACACAACCAGGCAGAATCACCGAAACTGCAACTCCTGCTGTTGCTGATGTAGAGTTTGGGACAGATTTTGATCTTTCA